TATAACAAACCTGGAGGTTCCGGGGTCTTCCGTACTGAGAGGAGCATAAGATCGATTAGGATTAAGCAAAGACGTCGTTGCCAATTCGATCACCGGCCCACTACCATGTCCGGATGACGTGGACGGTGAAGAGCCCGCCGGGATCCGAACACTTCTCAACGCATCTCTATACTTTCTAAACACAAGCGTTCTATTTCTGCTCGCCATTAACGTTTTCTATACAGAAATCCAATAAAATGGAGGAGTAAATTGCGCCCAACGTCCTACAGATAAGTAATTCCACTTGTGCTTAGATCTGAGATCTCTTGATCGGAGATCGGCGAAATGGATTCTCCGGTAATGATGGAGTTGTGTAGGAATTAGAAAACGAGTTCCAATCTTTCAAGCTAAGTTTGAGAAAGATGAACCGAACCGGAAGGGCACTTTTGGTAAAGTGTGGGTCCATGCCTTTATGTAGTTTACATGAAATTTGTAAGTATATTATAAATAAAATAAAATAATAAGAATAGAGAAGAAACAAACATCAACCACAATATTATATAGTATAGCCAATATAATTTCACAATCGACTTTGAAAAAATATTTGACAATAATTTCATGGTATGATTTAATATGCATTCGATTATTGATATGAATCAATATTAATTAGATGTTATCAATGTATATATTTATAAATAACACTACATACAAAAGTTCGAACTCAATATATATTATTTTATTTGTTTTAACATTGTAATTTTATTATTAATTATTTTCATAATATTTTAAAACGTATTTTTTTTTTAAATAGAGCAACTTTCACATATATCAAACATAAAAATCATATTTGTATGTTATATCTATAGTTTGCATAATTACGCTCCATAACAAACTTTATGTTTGCTATGACTATTTATATGTATATTTCGCTATACATATACAAAAGAAAGCAATTGTATAATCAGTTTCGGTATACATATACAAAAGAATCAATTGTATAATCTATGTTTATATAAAGTGAGAAAGAAAGAAAGACAACAGAAAACTGGACAGGGGAAGATCGTATTTGTATAATCATAAGTGTATAGGACGAAAATATATGAATTTGTATTTGAATATACAATTTTCTCTCGCTTTATACAAACACAAACGCATTTTATATATTTGTGTTTGTATAAAGCGCGAGAGGCAAGGGAGACTGCCCAGCGAGAACGAGGGTGGCGAGAGAGATTCACCAGGGAGAGAGGCGAAATAGCAACAGTTTGCTTTGAAATACAATTAAATCAAACTATGGTTATAACATTTAATTTGAATTAATAATTTGCTATTATATACAATTTTCCTTTTAAAATAATATATGTGATACATGTAATATTTTGACTATCCTAATTTGTAAATAGTCATAATAAATTTAAAATAACTAAGTTATTCTCAAACTTAATAGATATTTTTAAAAAATACACACATCAATCGAGACGCGTGTGCTTATTCCTTCTTTCTTGTATATTAGTAGTGGATATAATACCATCCCCTAATATCATAAGAAGTGTGTCAAATATTGTTATAAATAAAATTTCACAACCAACAAGGGTTGTGATTGAGTGGTAAGTACTCCTTCATCCTTAACCAAGAGGTTTCGGGTTCGAGTCTCCTTGGGTACGAAGTTACCTTTGTTAGAGAGCGGTTTATCCTAATGTGAGAAAAACTGACAAATGCAGTTTGATTCAGTGGATAAATATTTTCAATTTTGTCAAAAGTCTTTGAGCCAAAAAAAAAAAACAATTAAAGAAATTAAGAAGAAGAAAGAACACATCTTTGTATTTTAGAGAAAAAGCCCAGAATATCTTTTTTTATTTAGGGTTAAGACTTAAAGTTATTCTTGTATTTTTATATTAGTACATTTTTGGTTCTTCTCCAAATTTTTATTTATTTTTTAACATTGATTTTGTCCATAATTTTATGTATGAAATATTCAGTCATGTTTTTGTATATTTAGTAGAAATAATAACTCTATGTATGAGAAGGTGAGAAGAAGAACACATTGTTTTGCTTGGTAGAAATATTATTGCAACTACACTAAGAACCTACCTTTGATTATCGAGCTACATCATTTTATTGTTGATCTATGACGTTACAAGAAAATATTTTTTATCCTATTATGCGTGAAATTGACGCGATGAACCTCTTGATTTTAATTTTAAAAATAAAAGTTTGATGACAAACCAAAAGTGATGAAAGTGCCGTCAAATTTGTCTTTTTTTATTATTATAATAGAGAGGTTCATTACATTGATTTCACGTATAAAAATTTATTTTCTTGCAACGTTATATGTCAACAATAAATTAATATAGTTTGACAAGTAAATGTAGATTTTTAATTTAGCTACAATAATGTTTCTACTAAATAGAGTAAGACGTTCTCTAATCTCTTCTCACCTTCTCTCATATCGAGTTATTATTTATTCTAAATGTATAAAAAAACGATTGACTATTTCATACATAAAATTTTGGATAAAAACAATATTAAAAAATAGGTAAAAGTTTGAGAGAGGACTTTTCACTAATATTATAAACTTAAGAAACTATTAGTTTTGAGTCTTAATAAAAAAATAAGAGACTATTTTCAAAATAAGTTGTCTAAGAAAAGAACTTTGTAATTTTGGAGGTCAAATAAATAAGGTCAAATACATATGCAGATTCTTAAACTTGTTCCTAAATTTCATTTTGACATTTCAATCAACCTTGTTCCATTTTAATCATTCAACTTCAATTTTTATGTTTCATTTTGACACTTTTTTCCAAAAAATCAACAAAGTGGGATGTGTGTACTTAACATGCCATGACATGACACAAAAACCAATTAAAAACACATACACAACTCCTCTAACTTGCCCCCATTTTTCATTTTGTCATGCTAACTTAGCATTGTACCATTTTAATCATTTAACTCTAATTTACATAGTATCATTTAAACACAAAATATTAAATTTATGATTTCTTTATTTTTATTTATGTTCTTCATTTCCACTTTTTCATTTTAGAAATCAACGTCATATTTTTTCTTTTTAAAAATAATAATAATGGATGAACATCATTTTTTTAAAAAGATATTTTTTTAGAGTCTCTGTACATTATTGTGCGAAAAAATAATCGACGAAAGTGTGTTGGTTTTCTTTTTTAAACCATTAATTAAATTGAATAACACCACATTTTTTTTCTTCATATCTAGTGTATTTGGACTTACTCAAATATCAGCTTTCTAATTTTTCATTAAACTAAATACGAGTAAAAAAAAACTCATGTTCATTGCTAATTAATAACACTATAAAAAATGTTGAAACTCGATAGATTTCGTTGGGTTGTCATTGATTTTCTTAAGAAAGAAAATCGACGCACTTTCGTCGGTTATTTTTCACGCAAAAATATAGGGAAACTCTTAAAAAGAAATTGTTATTTTTTTAAAAAATAAATCAATGATCATCCGTCAATTTTAATTTTTTAGAATAACTAACGGATGAATGTTGATTTTAAAAATGCAAAATTGCAGTTGAATAACATATATAGAAATAAAGAAATCATAAATTAGTATTCTGTGTTAAATGGTACATAAAAAAATAGAGTTGAATGGTAATATTTTATTATTATTTTTTATTTTTTTTTTGTCTTTCACTCTTTTAAAGAAAGTGTGATACACACACTCTGCCACATCACTTAGAAGTGCCAAAATGGAATATAAAATTTAGAGTTGAAGGGTTAAAATGGAACAAGATTGAATTGGAGTGACAAAATAAAATTTAGGGATAAGTTTAAGAGTTTGCATATGTGTTTGGCCAATAAATAAATAAGGAATAATGTTTCCAAAATTATTACTAGTAATTAAATAAAACAAAAGGTGTGATACACACACTCTGCCACATCACTTAGAAGTGCCAAAATGGAATATAAAATTTAGAGTTGAAGGGTTAAAATGGAACAAGATTGAATTGGAGTGACAAAATAAAATTTAGGGATAAGTTTAAGAGTTTGCATATGTGTTTGGCCAATAAATAAATAAGGAATAATGTTTCCAAAATTATTACTAGTAATTAAATAAAACAAAAGGTGTGATACACACACTCTGCCACATCACTTAGAAGTGCCAAAAATGGAATATAAAAATTTAGAGTTGAAGGGTTAAAATGGAACAAGATTGAATTGGAGTGACAAAATAAAATTTAGGGATAAGTTTAAGAGTTTGCATATGTGTTTGGCCAATAAATAAATAAGGAATAATGTTTCCAAAATTATTACTAGTAATTAAATAAAACAAAAGAAAATTTGGCAAATAGTGTTTGTCCATACAATTTGCCATTATTTGGCAAATATTTTTGGCAAATATCCCAAATTCCCAAATACTAGTTTTTTCTAGTATTTGGGCCAAATCTCATTATTTGGGATCTTTTGAAAATTGAAATTTTACACCAAACTTTTATCTTTTACAAAAACACCCTCTATAGTAGTTGTTTGCGTTGTATTACATAATTTTTTACGTGAACACCAAAATAGTGATGAAATATTCAGTGAATATGAAGTGATGATATGGTTGTTGATGAAAATGATGAACAATCGGCTCAAGGTAACAAAGTCATGTGCTTTGTCTACTTCACGATGTATGAAATGATGTTTGTTGCACTCACTCCAAACTACCACATTGCTCTAGTGGCATGGAAACTACTTGTTATTTGTTGCAACGAAGATCCAATTGACTTGTAATACAAAATTATGGTTAGTTTTGATAGTTTTTAAAACTTATGGGTATAAATCATATTTTTCTAAAAAGTGAAATATATTTCACAAATACTATGGCCAAACACATGATGAAATTTCACCCAAATTTTCACCCAAATAATATTTGCCAAGAATATTTGGAAATCTATGGCCAAACGCTAGCTAAGAGTTTGCGTATGTGTTTGGCCAATAAATAAATAAGGAATAATGTTTCCAAAATTATTACTAGTAATAATTAAAATAAAACAAAAAAGACATAAAAAAAGGTGTGGAAGACAAGTCTCGTCTTGTTTTTGGTGGAATTTCACATTTTCACCTGCTTTAAGCCTAAAGGCCTCGCTACCTCCTCTTCATCATCTGCTTCTTCTTCTTCTTATACATCATCTTCATTGATTCGTCGTCGTTTTCTCACACCAAAATCGCACTCTTTTCTCTTCGTTCGACAAATCTCTCTCTACACCGACACTCCTTACAATTCATAATTTTATCAACTCATCATTCTTAGGGTTTGTGAACGAACGATTGAGTCGAATTGGTACTTGAATTTCACTGTTTCAAATCAGAAGTAGATCTTAATCTGTGAGGATTCAAAAGTAAAGTGAAGCAAATATGGATGCTGATTCATGGAGTGCTCGTCTATCTTCTGCTTCCAGGCGCTATCAATCTGCTTTTCAGTCTCGATCTGGTAAGTTTTTTCCTTTATGTGTTAGAAGTTTCGGGGTTTTTTCAATTAAAGATTGGATTTTTATGTTATTTATGCGGTTAATTTTTGTGTAGGAATGAAGTGGGAGAATCTTGAGGCGGAAATGTTGATGGGTTTTGAGGAACTAGACGTTGATGATGATATAAGAGAGGAGTTCCCTTGCTGCTTTTGTTCCGAGTATTTTGATATTGTTGGTTTATGTTGCCATATTGATGATGAGCATCCTGTTGAGGCCAAGAATGGGGTATCGCTCTCTTTTCTCTTCAGTTGTTGTATGGTTGATCATCCTTAGCTGTCTCCCTAGTGTAGAAAAATTGAATATTTTGTTGTTTTACACTTAAATTATCATGAATGTGTAGAAGTTTAACTTCTTTTCATCTGTTGGAAGATAGAGTGTCGTGTTAATTGTTTTGGTTTACTAGCTGAAATTTCAAGCTATGACGGCATGATTTAATACAGTTGCCTTTGATGGTATTACATTTTTTGTATGTACTGTCGGGCATTCTTGAGTGGTACAGAGACATGTATATGCCTCTGGCAACTGTTCTAGTATTTCCAAATGTCCGTGAAATCATGCTAAAGATGTTCTACTCATTGCTCTTGGTTAAGATTTCATCTTGTTCTCTTGCTCTCTCTCTCTCTCTCTCTCTATCTATCTATCTATCTATTGGTTGAGATGCTTTATACTAGTAATATATTTGGTTGTCTAGTCAGAGATGTTGTGTGGGTTGCTTAGATGTTAACTGTTCCTTGTGCTGGTGTGTGTGTCTGTCTCTCAATCTTTCTGGAGGAGTGTTGGTGCTCGGGTGGGGTAGAATCCCTCTGAACTTGTTGTATGATAGTTTTCTCCGGTCTTGAATGTTGTTCTCATTTGCTGATGTGAGTGCTCTGTCAAGAACATCTGATGCATATGGAAGCTATTTTTAGAACTAATTCCTCACAATCGCCTTCTTTGTGTAGGTGTGTCCGGTTTGCGCTATGAGGGTGGGCGTTGACATGGTTGCACACATAACCTTACAACATGGGAATATCTTCAAAATATCCTTTATTCAGTATCTTAATATCATTTTTTGGGTTCATTATTGTGTAGTACCCTTTTGGTACTTCTTTTATTTGTATACAGCAATGTCTTGTGCAAAAATTTCACTTAACACAAACGTAGGAAATGGATTTTTCGATAAGTTGGGTATAACTATAATAATTCCAAGCTTTGAAAGTTACTCCAGATGTTTAAAGCATTTCTTTTCTATCATAAATTGGAGTGAGAGGTCCTCCACCAGTGGATAATGTCAAACTCTTCCATTATCAAAAAAAAAATTCCTTTCTAGTGTGTGTTCAATTAAGCTCCTGAATCAAGATGGTTGACTGTTTAAGTAACTTTCTGGGGGCTTTGGCCACTCGATGCAAGCTCTTAATTGGTATTCTTTTTTTGTAGATTTCTGTAAGTCAGTTTCTTTTAGGGCCTTTAAGATGAGGTTCTCTATGGTTTGGTGCTCACTGTTTTTTTCTCCTGGAAGAGTTTGAAAATCTGCCCTCAAATTCTGATACCTTTCTCGGCCTTTTGGCTAAGATCAAGTATTTGAAATTTGACGTAATTTTTTTGGGGCATGTTAAGTTATTTTAAACCTTTGGCCATTTGAAAGCAAGCTGCTAAATCCCTCTACTTTAAAGGCATGCCATCTAAACTTCACTATCAAAGTGCACCTTCACATGCATCTTTGACTCGTCTCAATGACATACAACTTTACGTTTTCATTCCATGTCAGTCCGTTGGAACTTTCTGGGCATGCTTTAGTATTTGTCATTTATCATTGTCCTGGAACCCAAGGATCATTTTCTTGTACACATTGAATAAAAGCACTCCAGATGCAGGTCTTTTGAAAGCTGATACTCTTGCTTAGGTTGCGTAGCTTCATAGTTGTGATCAGTGACAAGACTAGTTTTACTTCCTTTTCTTTTCTGGAGGCAGGGAGTTAACCTAGGGGTTGCCTTTGTGATCCAAAGCATGATAAAGGCTGATCAACATAGCGTGTAAGGAGTTCTGTTACTTTTCAAAATCCTGATATCATGAGAAAAAGAGGAAGTAAAGTTTCCCATGCATTCTGGTTAAGCTGTTTATTTTCTTATAATGCCTTGTGGTTCCTTGTTCATCAGGGTATCATACAGAAAAGCTAGATAATGATTTAAATATTATCATGTTCATTTGTTAGTTTATCAGTTGGTTAATATTGAAATTTGGAGTAGAGTTGTAGAGATCAGAGGTAAAATTTTGGGGTTTAGGGAAGGTTGAATCATGTTGGTAATGATGTCCCTTCCAGATGTGCGGAGGCCATAATCTCTATTTGCTCCTCCCATCTTCTTCCCTTATTTTGACAAATTCTATATTTGTGGTGGAGTGTGACAATGAGGGACTCCATTAGCTATTTTGAGTTCCTTGACTTCAGCTTACATGCAGCGCAAGAGGAAATCTCGCAGACCTGGTTCTCATTCAACACTTTCCTTATTAAGGAAGGAACTGCGTGAAGGAAATTTGCAGTCTCTATTTGGAGGGTCTTCTTGTGTAGCTCCCTCAACTAGTACTGCACCAGACCCCTTGTTGTCATCATTCATTTTGCCAATGGGTGATGATTTCAAGAGTGCTCAAACGCATTCTCCTGCTGAAACAATCCCAGCCAAGAAAAGCTCAGTAGTAACTGCCTCTGAAAGGTATGTATTTTATCCTTTTCTGTGCTCTGGTACAGTAGCTTCTTGTAAACACTTGTATAGAGATGCTACCAACTTGTATAATTAAGTGAAAATCGTAGAGATCTTTCAGAAAAGGACTTTGTACTAAATGTTTACCTAAAAGAACATGTCTGCCCAAACCTCAGGGCTTAGCTCAATCAGCGAAGGTGGAGAGACTTGTGAGTTGTGACTTAGGCAACATCTTTGAGCCCTGCAGCAAGTGAACTAAGTCTGGTATTTAAGTGAAGGTAGAGGGGCAGGCCCATTAGCCCAGAGTTTCGAAGGCAGTTGGTTGGAGCCTGGAGGTTTGAGTTTTGACTGTGACACCCCACCCTTGGTGTTAGCTTTAGAATAGAAGTCACCTATGGTACTTGTGGAAAGACTGGGCGAACACCTCTAACTTCTGGGTGAAGTGCTAAGGGTGCTTTGAGCAAATAATCTTTTGCCCCCCTCTAGTTGTGGGCTGAAGCACCATAGGTACCTGGTTTTTTGTTTCAAGCTGTATGTCATCAACCTTTTGACTAGGTACAGCCGTACATGTATTGTGGTTAGTTTCATATTTTTTGAGAACAATAAACACAAGTGATCTAATATTAATTTGTTTTAGTCGTGCTGGTAATTTAAGTTAAGGATGGGAATAAAAACCGGAAAAAAGGGACCGATTTCAGTTCTTCGGTATTCGGTTTTAGGGTCCCGAAACCAATTTCTTTTAAAAGAGTGATATATATCACCAGAGTCATGAGAGGAAGCAAGAGTGTGAGCTGTGAACTGGCACTCAATTCTTGAGAGAAGAAGTGTGACTTCCTTGAAGGGTTTTGACAGTTCTTAGTAATCTGTCTCACTCTCTCTCTCTATCTATATGCTCCTCTCATTTTCATTTAATTAAGGGGAAAAGGACAAATATACCCCCAAACTATCGTAAATGGTATCTAAATACCCTTCGTTATACTTTTAGGACACTGATGTCCTTACTGTCCGAATTTTGGGGCGTATATACCCTTTCTACTAACGGCGGGACACATGTCACAATCTAAAACATTTACCCATATTAATTAAAAACCCACCCCAAATTATAACCCAAAACACTTCTCCATCTTCTCCGTTTCTCATCCTCCGAATTTTGGTCAAGTTTGGCTGATTTCTGGCCAAGTTCTTCGATTTTCAAGCCGTTGTTCACGGAAAATGTTCCTGCAAATTCCAAACGAACTCAGCCCCCCACATGGTAATTAATTAATTAAATTTGAACTGATGCATTTTGATGGCAGACACAAATAGGAAAGCCACATCAAGATTACCATTTCCATCAGGGCTATTAAATGGAAACAACCATCTCTAAATGACACTATTACCTTGCCACGGTAAATTTGGACCAATCCCATGGGATTGGGGATCAAGTGCTTGTTTCACAAATCACTGGACCTATCATGGAGTTTGCAATTGCTAACAAAAATCCATTGGGTCTGTTTATAATTGAATTGAGGATCAAAATGGGTTGATCATTGATGAACGAGGATACACGAAAAATTTGAATGGCAGATCGTAGAGGAAGAGGAAAAAACAGAGGACGAAGTGCAGATACTAATAAGTGTTTTGGGTTATAATTTGGGTATGGGTATTATGTTATTTGGGTGGATCTTTTAATAATGGGTAAAAATTGTAATAAAAATCGGATAAATGTTTTAGATTGAGACAAGTGTCCCGCCGTTAGTAGAAAGGGTATATACGCCCCAAAATTTGGACGGTAAGGGACATCAACGTCCTAATAAGTATAATGAAGGGTATTTAGATACTATTTACGATAGTTCGGGGGTACATTTGTCCTTTTCCCCTTTAATTAATGCAAGAGAAGAGGAAGGAAGAGTGGTGAGTAGAAGCAGTAGTATGCAACGACTATTTATACTAAGAGCAAATGTAAAGGGGATTCTATAAGCAGCTTTTTTTATTTTTTCTACGTCTTCAATCATCATCATCATTGGACGAGGACATAGTTCTGCATTTCCATTTCCACATTGTTTTCATGATCGCCATGACTGAAGAACTGAAATGGACCGAATTAGAAAAAAAAACTGAACTAATTTTGGTTCGGTATTGGGTATGCACCCGTGAAGAAGCGAACCCGATGTAGTTTGGTATAATTTGGGTGTGCTAAAGTATCTGGTTTACTGCTTTTGAGCTGCATATAGTGAAGCAGGCAGAAGTTTGAAATTTTTGCATACATAATTTTCGCCTTCAATTCATGCTTAAGGGATTAATGGTCAACTAGAATTCTGCTAGACCCGCTCTTGTTGGTGGCTTCTATCAACTTGTGCCATGAAATGGAAATCACTGTTTTCTATGGTCAAATAGACGGGAATTAGAGGTTTTTTTTTTTTTTTTAATTTTCCTAAATGAATTAGAGGTGTTATTACCTTGTGATATCTTTGTTATCAGTTCATTCCATAGAAAACTCTCGAAAAAAGCAGAAGAGAAATAGTTATCATTTTTTTTTTGGGGCTTTATAATCTGATGAAGGGAATAGGAATCTAAGTTGTCTTTATCATGATAGTATCATCGTTGTTGTTCCGTTACTTTTGGGTCTTATATACCTAGCACTGGGTATTTGTTGTTGTGTAGTGGTAACTCGCATAGTCTTATGGGTGTATTTGAACTTATTTTGCAGGAAAGTTCAACAGGCCCCATTGTCAATCAAGGATCAAGAGGAGAAGGCAAAAAGGAGTTCGTTTGTTCAAGGATTGCTATTGTCTACCATTCTGGATGATAATTTATAAAGGTTGACATGAATGCTGCCCAGGGTTCACCAGTTTACTGATAAAGCCGTGTGGTTAGTGATCCAGCGCAGTGCGCATGCTGCTGGCACAATTGTAATCCAACCGTGGAATAAGATGTAGTAATCCATGTAATCTATCTTGTTGTTTGTAGAATTTAGTTGATAGGCAGCAGACTCTTCATGTATCTTCTTTTATTGCAGCTCATGCTACCATAAAGAATATAATAAATGTTCAAGTTGGTTTTAGTTTTTTCTCTTCATCTCCTTGCCAATCAAATAATGCCACTAAGAACATGCGGTTCAACATTTTTGGCGTGGGAAATTAACGTGACAATAAGATACAGGATATTTTGCAACACAGGAAAATAAAAGACAGAAAAAACACTTAGAAGTAGTGTATAACTTTAACGGGCCCTCCATTAAAAGAGATGGAAGAAACAAAGGAAATTCAAGGCCAAGAATCAACAATAACCACCTGATCAAGAAAAACAGTAACCGGCACGGCCAGGCCATCTATAAGTGAACAATAAGTTGGGGAGATTTAAGCCAACAAGAACCAGTTTCAACTTGCAACAAAAAAACAGCAGTTACCATAGTCAATGGTAAATTTCCAACATATCCAAACAGCTCCGATAACAAATTGGCTAATAAATAACAATGGCAACAACAGTGGTTGCATATTTTTGACAACAATCAAGGAATCTTTTGTCAGTTAAAGCGTGGTATACAAGTGTAAAGCTGAAAAATCTATCCTAACAAATGGATTTGTCCGGCATGGTCAATGGGCAGAAAGAATGGCTAATGCTATTTCTGAGAAGTCGCACATCAAATCCCACTGCTTCAACAAACAGCATGTCTTCTATACTCGTGATTTCACTCAAAAAGAGGCAAGAGTACAGCGATCCTCCACAGGGGAGATTTGGCTGCCAGCCTGTCTCCCAATTTAATTACAAATTATGGTAGACTGCACAGGGGGCTTCACTTCACCATGCTTGAGCACATGCAGCTAAAATGGTCTTCTAAGAGTGCTGGGCAATGTCGTCCTTGAAGGTACTGCAGGCTGTACCAAAGCATGTAACATATTCAGAATTTAATACGCCTGTAATTTGGGGGGGAGGGTGCAAAGGAGAAGATGAACTTGCATAAAACTATTGAAGTAATATACATTTATGACCAGTCACATACTCAGGTAGCTAACTTAAAATGGTGAGATGAGCCATCAGTAGGCGAAAAGGGTGAGATGAGCTAACAGTAGGCGAAAAGGAGATTCAAGTTTTGTTCATAGTACAAAAATCAAACATCATAGAAAAAGAAGATAATGCGGCATTATTCATCAGCAATAGCAGAGGAAGTGTGGGCCTCCAAGTTTAAAGTACCACACTGCTCTAAATACGATCTCCTAGCCCAGTGAAGACCCTTCTAAATTCTGATCAATTCGACTAATGAGAAAATATTAAAAGACATGAGTCATGTTTATGTTTCACTTGCATACACAGAGCTTGGAGTGTAAGCAACAACAGGGCTAGATATATTCTCCGCATTACCATACCGTTGAACTTAATCATACTACTGTACTTGAAGTCCCCACTGGAACTTTCAGTTAAAAGGAACATAAAAAACTACACTCCCTCAATTTTTGATTGTTTAAACCAGATTTTGAATAACTTTAGCCATCGATTCCACTAATTCCTTATCTAATTAAAGAGCTCACCTCTCTAAATTGACAAGGAGAAGTGCTAGCATCAGGCCCAACATTAGATCTGCTACTGCAGGGATGGAGTTGCTGATGAGCCAGATTAAAATTGAAACTTGCATCAGTTCCTTGCAATTCACTTTCCAAAAATTCACCAAAAAAACTTTGTGATGATGTAGAGGCTCCATTCAAATTCAGTTGCCCACTCAAATTACTTGACCTTTCGGGTACAAGGTTTGGATTTTGAGATAAATGAGCATCACTCTCCAGTTGCCTTCCTCGGAAAAATGAATTATGAGGTACTGCCCTTTGTGCTATAGCAGGTTGAGTTGCTAATTCTCTACTTCGAGCAATTTGAGAGCCAAAGAGACTATTCCCTGATACAGCACCCAAGGTCCCAGTAATATTACCAAGTTGTCTCCTCCTGTTATTAAGGAGTTGATGTATTTGCCGTTGTATTCTGCGTCGGTCAGAAACTGTAAATGCCCCAATCCCAGAAGCTAGAGAAGAAACTTGACCATCTCGCGGAGATTGAAAATCACCTGATTCTTCAGTCAAAGGGGTATCAGGAACATACATTTCATTAAGATCAAACGTTTCTCTTACATTCGCAACAGGAGGTGACCCAACAGAAAAACTGCCGCTTGTTCTATTATCAGGCATAGGATTCAGATTCTGTGGGTTTAAAGAAGCAAGAGCAGTTGGCCGACAGCTTTCACAGTACCAGTTACCTTCAGGTACTTCATGTCCAAGACCAACACAATAAGTATGCGCAGGCGAATCACAGAGATCACAAAGTAGCATAAGAGCATCATCCCCACCTTGCTGACACTCTGTACATAATACATTTTCGTACGGGTCAAGGTAACCCCTAAGCTCCTCTTCAGATGGTTGATAAACCTATATACACAATTTAAACATTGACTGCAGTTAGAAAATTTGGTGTTTTTGTAATAAATGAATACTCAGGTTTACCAATAAATAAATGCACAGAAGTAAAAGGGGGATGTACCTGATCACGCTCAGGGACGTGAATAACCACAGTCCTCAAATCAAAGCCAGTGTCTGACCTTGCAGGCTTACTGATTGTCACAAACCTTTGCTTGCACAGTGGGCAACGAGATTCCACTTTGGACCACTCCATGATGCAAGCAAAACAAAAGTAATGACTGCAGCAATTCAATGTCCCTCTAACTGTTCTCTTACCTTCTTCAGACAAACATATGCCACAAATCTGCTTTCCGGCTTCAATCTTTAACTCCTCCATCTTTTCTTTAGCCTTTCTTGCTGGATGTTTTCTTTGTAGACGTGGAGCTTCCTCTATTGGTGATTTTTTCAAAGATGCTGAGCCCCTCCAGGTTGTAACCAAGCTCCTGCAAAAATTGTTAGCCTCTCTGACTTGTTCCCTCTCTTCTTCAGAGATGGTAAACTCACGTTCAGATGATCCAGAACTCGCAACAAAATCAGAATCAGAATCTACTGTTAGTCTCTTTCTTTTTCTCTTCTGACCTGCATTCTTTTTATTCTTTTCTTTCATGGTTGGATCGACGTCTATGAACTCCTCGTCATTTTCAGATCTTGCTTTCCTTCTCAATCGCCGTCTCTTAAGTGATTTCTTTCTTGTGATCTTCTTCAACTTTTTGTGGTTTCTATTTCTCTTCTGTACTCTGGCAGTGCCCTTACGTGACCGTGGCTTGGCTGAGTACTTTATCCCTTCCATTTCTGGAAACTCTTCTTCTTCTTCTTCGTCCAAGCCATCTGGAGTGAATTCCTCATCATCGTCATCATCTTTGGTATATCCCTTACACAGCCGTGGCTTGCTCGAATTCTTCATCCTTTTTGTTATTGGAATATCCTCTTCTTCATCCAAGCTAATTGGAGTGAATTCCTCATCATCCTCGTCATCATCTTTGGCAGTGGCCTTACGCCTTCGTAGCCTGCTTGAATTCTTCATCCCTTTCATTACTGGAAAATCCTCCTCTTCGTGCAAGCCATCTGGATTTAATTCCTCATCTTCTTCATCTTTGACAGTGCCCCTACGTAACCGTCGCTTGTTAGAATTATCCGTTCCTTCCATTACTGGAGACTCTTCTTCTTCATCATCTTCATTATCCAAGCAATCTGGTGTGAATTCCTCATCCTCATCTTTAAAAGTGGCCTTACGTAACTGACGCTTGCTAGAATTATCCATCCCTTCTGTTACTGGAAACTCTTCTTCTTCTTCATCCAAGCAATCTGGTGTGAATTCCTCATCATCTTCATCTTTGACAGTGCCCTCACACAGCCGTCGCTTACTAGAATTGTTTGTCCCTTTCATTACTGGAAACTCTTCTTCTTCATCCAAGCAATCTGGCGTGAATTCCTCATCATCTTCATCTTTGACAGTGCCCTTACGCAACCGTCGTTTGCTAGAATTGTTTGTCCCCTTCGTTACTGGAAACTCTTCTTCTTCATCCAAGCAATCTGGCGTGAATTCCTCATCATCTTCATCTTTGACAGTGCCCTTACGCAACCGTCGTTTGCTAGAATTGTTTGTCCCCTTCGTTACTGGAAACTCTTCTTCTTCATCCAAGCAATCTGGTGTGAACTCCTCATCATCTTCATCATCGTCATCATCATCTTCTCTATATGAAACTCTCTTTCTCTTTCTAGACTTCACAGTTCCTTTTTCTTTTCTGCTTGGTGCTCTTGATCGAGCAACCCTTTTCACCTTCCGCGTCTTAAATTCCTCCTCCTCATCTTCATATTCACCTAAACTCTCTTCTGAATCATCTCCAACAAAGGAAGAATATCCATCTTCTGACTCATCAAATTCCTCATCATCATCAACTGTGTAATCCTCATCTGACTGATCTGAAGCTCTATATGTGGATCCAGCCTTTCTCCTATCACTAGTCTTGCGTCCAGCCTTGCCTTCCCTCGCCATCCTTTCTAACACCCAGGGGGAGCAAAAACCGACAACTTGAATCAGATCTAACTATGTGATGCCACTAGATCCACCGCTTAATTAGACAAGGAAGTGAATGCGCCTGAAACACAAACAACCCATCATTTGTTATGTAAAGTAAAGCCTCCACAACACAAGCTCAAAATCATGCACTTGTTACTTCCAAGTTCTCCCAACAAATACCCCAATAAAGCTTACAAATCTGCCTATTTGCATTTACAAAATTACCTAGATTAGTATGGGACTTCTTAAAATCTTAACATTCTACCACAAGTTTCATCCAAATAAAGTATCAAATCAACTAAAAATAAAACAATCGAACACCCTAAAAATAAAAAAATTTACTCAGAAATAGAAAGAATTGATCTAACTAAATACATAAATAAAACCCCCAAAGATCAAAACCTTAACCCTAGATCAAGATACTAGCAATAACTCAGATAATTCCCAGCAAAAATATGAATAAATTAGTATTAAATTCAACCCCAATAACACAAATTCCCAAAATTCAGATGGAACAGTAGAAAAAAAACAAAACCAGACAACAAATCTCAACAATCAATAGATTACCAAACAAACAAAACCCAGATAAATTTTGGTGTTCCCTTATTGTTCTTTTTTTTTACAAATAAAAGGGAAAATAAATAAATAAAGATAGGTTATGGTAAGTACCTGAGAAAAGAAGAGGAGGCAAAATCGGCAAAACTCAAAAAATTATAAAAGAGAATTATCTTGAGCTATATATAAAATCAAAAATCAATCCAATTTTTTTTTTAAAATACAATAAAATAAAAAGAAAAATTAAGCGGTGGGATGAAATTTGAAGGAAATAATAAGAGGGTCACCTAAAGAATCTGTATTTGTATTATTTACTTACTACTTTTCTCATATTTTTGTCTTTCTATATATATGTAGAGATGTGCTTTTAAAATAGTGATATTATTGCAATGATAAAGTAAAGCATCTATTATTAGAACGTTTTTGGGAGATTTGGTTTTGTAGTATTTTATAAATTTATTTTTAATTTTACGTTATTTTTATATGAAATTTTTATTTTTTATAGGTGATAGATTTAAATTATTTAATTTTATTTTTTTTAATTAATTCCACATTTTCGAGTGGTCGTTGGGCCCAGACACTTTTATAAGAAGCAAGTTGGATGTAATGCTATTGGTTGGGCATATGTATGAATTTCCATATTTACCCTTTGTGATGTTGAGAGCAGCTCAACTGCTATTTTGACTTTGGGCTCACCAAGTTGGGTTTCGATTTGGGCTTTTTATTCTAGAAGGCTTATGGGCCTTTAGTCTGGATTTGGGCTCACAGGATCCTTATGCAGCCCAAATAAGTTACGAGAAGTGATTATTAGTTTAAACCAAAGTTTCACAAATGGCCACTTTTTGGCTCTGTCTTTGAAAGTTAGTTTCAAACTCTATAGGTAAAACGTTATGACATTAGCTATTTTTCAAAGAAAAAAATTAGAAAGTGGCTAGTGCGCGTTATTCTACAGATGTATCACTGTTATAAGCTAGACAACAATTCTTTAATTTGAATGGTAGTTCTTTGCTAAAAGCCTAAAACTATTATGTTCCAATTATGGATATTGGATCAACAAGCCCAATGATAGAAACTATCCTTTATGCAGCCAGCCCTTTGTCAATTGGATCATCAGATTTGAGGAGAAGAATAAAAAATATTGCCAATTTTAGACAGTATGCCTTATGGAAGCATCAAGTTGAGAGTGTACCAGTTCAGATATCCACGATCAAGAAGTACTGGATTCTCTTTCGAATATCCCTGAAAAGGAAAGGGAAGATTGAAATGCCAACAAATGTCTATTATATTGAATTTACTTGATAATCCCCATTTTGGGAACATCCAAGGCAAAAGTCACTAAATGGGTAAGTTGTCAATCTCTGAACTATGTAATATATTTTAGGAAAAATTACAGAAATCTCACCTTTTAGTTTACTTATTATCATTATCTCCTATAAGTTTTACAAATTTCCAAAATCCCTCATTTTCGCGCATCAGATTAATATATCAGCGCTTATATTATTGTATCTCGCGCATCAGATTAATGTATCAACGCTTATATTATTGTATCTCGCGTATCAGATTAATGTATCAGAGCTATATAAGTGTTGATACATGCGCGAGATACAATAATATAAGCGCTGATATATTAATCTGATGCGCGAAAATGAGGGATTTTGGA